GTATAGCAGCCTGGATTTGCGTACTGATGGGCCCCATGTCGACGCTGTGATCCTCGCCAGTGATTTGAATGCGGCCTCTCCCTTCACAGCTGCCCTGGCTATGTGGTCTTTCCAGGTGAGCCCTGGGTCGAGCCATACACCCAGTATCCTCATGGATGGGACGAGTTCGGCTTCCTTCCCCTGTATGGTTACCGTAGACTTTAGGTCTTCATTAGTCTTTCGCTTCTTCGTAAAGTGTATGAGTTGGTATTTGTCGGGTGCGAAGCTGGCCCCAAACCTCTTGGCCCAGGCGACACACTTATCGTGTGCCTTGGAAAGTCTCCTGCAGTTATCCTCGGCGGATCTGCCCCATGCGATAAGGTTGGTGTCGTCCACGAATCCAAATCCAATTGTATCGTCCTTGACGTCTTTAAACTCTCCCAGGAGGTCGGCGATGAAGAAGAGGAAGAGGATGGGTGATAGTGTGGATCCCTGGGGGATGCCTGTCTCGGTTTTGATCCACGCACTCGTGAAGTCGTTGAAGCTGATTTTGGTTCGGCGGTCCGTGAGGAATGATTCGATGTAGGTGACTACCCACTCCGGGAACCCCTTAGATCGGAGGACCCATAGTAGTAAATAAAGATAACTGTTTAAAGAGTAAAGATTTATATAAGTAATAGGTATATATACTATTCTATTGGCTAAATACTGATTTAAGATAAGGTTACAAGCCCAACTAATGGCTGGCATAGACGGGAACGCAGGTGAAGCTTTAAGAAGCTACTTGAAAGGAATCCTCGTTGGGTTCGAGTAACAGAATAGCTTTGCACGTTTGAGATTCCCGTGAGCTTGCCTGAATTAGCCTTCGTGCTTCACATCGGTCCCGCTCCTCAGATGTAGTCGTTGTGAAATCTTACTTAGCAGAGCTCGTTGTGCTACCAATTGTTTCTAAAGGCACTTTCGCGTTTAATACAATACGTCGCAATCCTCCATTCAAGAAGTATTTCTCTTTGTACCTCCCTTCACCCATAGTTTACATACAACTGATTCCTCGACAACTCAATGTTCAGTGATCCCACCTTGCCACTCGGCCCAAACATACTCGACAATTCCTTGAGTTCCCGCTCGCGATCCTGATACCAGTTTGTCGCCTTTTGCTCACCCCACTGCTTGAGTCTCTGCATGTCTCCGTCAGCCTGTGCAACTGCGTACTCGGTCTTCAAACCCATTTTGGTACCACTCCAAAGTCCTTTGCCAAGCGATGGAGTTCTAGTAGCTGCCACGCTTTCTCCCTTATACCTGGCAGCTCCCCAACCACTCGCTGCGGCGCCTATCGCACCACCCATCAGTGCGGCTATCCCTGCGCCCTCGAAGACACCGTAGTGCGTGTCGTATACGGCGTTTTCAATGACATTATGCGCCACAGTGGTGAGCAGCGAGCTTGTGGCCCCGATAAGGGCACCGCTGCCAAAACTGGCGGCCTTGCCAATTGCGTTGGTAGTCGCGGAGCTTAGAGACCAGCCTGCAGCCTGCCCGAGGCGGCCCGTTGCGCTCACTAAGCTTGCAGGCGTTGCCACGGCGCCCAGATATCCCGTCGCTCCTCCGATGGCTGCATTGACAAGCACGGTGGGTATAAAACCAGCCCAGAACTTGCCGCCTCGCTCATTCCGGTGGTCAAGTGAATACTTGATGCCTGCGATGCCGCCTGAGAATAGAGCTCCCACGCCAGCAGCAGCAAGTGGTGCTAAAGCTCCACCTGATGCTACAGTAGCGAAGATAGCGGCGCCGACCATAAGACCACCAATAATTGTACCAAAGATGGCTGATAGTGAAAATTGCCCGGTCGGATCCGTGTTATTGATAGGATCATTGTTCTCGAAAGCCATCCGGTTCAGCCCGTGGGTCTTCGCGAGCAACTTTACATCTAGGATGTCATCTGGCGATGTGAAGCGTCCCACCAAAGGATCATACCACCGAGATCCAAAGTCGAGGAGTTGGGTTGATAAGTCTAGCTTCTTCGACTCAAAAGTTGCGGTCATGTCCGCCGTTGGACCATCAGCCTGTACTGGACAGATGGTTGGAGCGCCAAAGTCGTCGTACGTGATAGTTTGAAGCCGACTTCCGTCAGAACCCCTGAACTTGTACTTCACGTTACCCTTGCTGTCAGTGAATACAGCCCTGGCAGCATCCTTCTTATTAGGCTTGTCAGAGCTACTGGGGGTGGCATCGTCCTTGGGATCTGACATGCTGTATGTTCCGAGCAGGATGCCAGCGCCAAACAGCTTGAGCGTGGTGATCTTTGAGCCATCTGCCTGGGCCCGTACGCTGTAATCCTCGCCTACCATGAGCGTAGTTCCCCCATTATTAGGTTCTTCCCTTATGACCGATTTGTCGTCAGGGCCAGAGGTGATAATTGTCTGCTCTAGAGCACTGTTTGTGTAGTTGGTGAGCACTCCGAAGGAGTTGTAGTTGAAGGTCCATGACTCCTCTGCAGTCTTTCGACTGACCATCCTTCCAGCCCGATCGTAAGCAATGTCGAAAGCGAAATTGCCGGCCGCTGTACCCTTAACTCTGTTCGCTGAATACACAATGCTTGTGCCCGCTTTTTTTGTCAAGTTGCCCGCATTGTCGTAAGCATAAAATTTCGCAGCCTCCTTTCCAATCTGAGAGCTCGCTAGACATTTCCCTTCGTAAATGTAATTGGTGCCTACACCGCTGATCTCGTTCCGATTACTAGTAAGCTGACCAGCTCCATTATAGGCGTACGCCTCATTGACAAGGTGGTTGAGCGATCCGGTGTCAGGTATTCTCTGGTCAAGGCTGTGACTGAGCGGGTATGACTGGCGATCATACGCGAATGTGTGCTCAAAGTGACTTTCCATGCTCGCTTCTCCGACCACGATCCTGCTCGGTTTGCCCACAGCATCCATGTATTCGAAACGACTGTCGAGCCACTTTTCTCCATGGCCTGTTGTGGATTGTTCTCGGATCAAGCTGTAAGTTAGCAGCGCTCCCATGTACTGATTCTCTTTCACCGCTTTGTTGGCATATGATTTTGTTGTTGTCTGTCCATGCCAATCGTAGGTGAAATTGGTCTCATATTCCTTTCCATCGGCGAGAACCAACGTCCGGGATCTGAGCTGACCGAGCTCATCGTATGTGAAATTCAGTTGAGTTTCAAGAGGTTTGAGTTCCCCCTGGGGGTGAACGGTCATAGACAAAAGATAGTCTCGATCCTTGTCGTACTCGTACATGAGGACTCGACCATCAGAGCCTATTTTGCGAAGTGGCCGTCCCTTGCTGTCTCTCTTAAACGTAATAGACTCTTCATTTGCATTCACAGTTTTGATGAGCTGGCCCATGTCATCGTATACGTAGGTCATTGCTGCAACCGATGGCTTCCCTGTGACTGTCATCTTCTGATAGATGTTGTTCGTGACACGAAGTTGGCCAATTGAACTATACTCTCTCGTCTCTTCCGTTTCTTTAGTTGGATCGACAGCTGATACCAAGTTGCCGGCAGCATCATATCTGAATTCCGATAGCAAGTCCTTCTGATGAGTTACGGATTGCACGTGTTCCTTGCCGTCGATGGAGACGAAGCTGCGAGGCGATGTCCACAGCACAACATCCTTACCCCCGGGGTTCGGATCAGGCCATTGTACGGTCTCTGAGACGCTTGCGCCACCCCTGGAATATTGCAAAGTCGACATCACTTTGACCGTTGGGTCGTTGTGACTCGGCCGAGTCTGTCTGACAATTCGCCCGAGCCCATCAAATACAGAGATTGTGCCTTCTGTTGTCGGCTCTGGTACGTACTCCAAGTTGTTCGCATTGTTTGAAATCGGGAAGCTTTCGAACGTGGTGTTGCCACGGGAGTCGAAAGTCCAGTATTTCCAAGAGACATGATTACTTGTGCCCTGGGACGGTTCGACTCCATCTCTAGACTTTTGGATCTTTGTCTGGCCGGCGCAGTCAAGTATGTCTACCACTTCACGCTGCCCAGTGTCTTGCGCATTGAAGTATGACATTGTTCTAGTAGACAGATACTGTCTGGGTGCTTGCGCAGTGTCCTTTACAGGGCCCTTTAGGATGTCATAGCTGTATATCTCGAAGGGATCCAGAAGACAGAGCGGATCTTTGAGCTTGTCTTCGAGGATTCGATCAGTTTTCAACGGCAACGGACTTTTGAGGAAGTCAGAGGCCGCAACAGAAGAGGGTGTTTGTTGAAGGCTTTTCAAGCGTGTCTCAATCTTCCTACCGAAGTTATCGATCTGAATACAGGTCAGGCGCCCGGTGGGTTCAAGTTTCGCCACCAACTCTCCGCTTGCCTGATCGTAGGCGAAAGATGTCCTAGTGGAGACCCCTTTGCCAACTTCCTCCTGGCTGATGGCAAGGTTGTGGAAAGTGTCATCGTAGGTCGTTTTTGTAGTTAATCCCGCGGGATCGACCACAGATACCTCGTTCCCGAATTGGTCAAATGCATGAGTAGTGGTCAAAAACTTCGAAACGTCGTCGGACCACCGTGATTCGGTCTCTAGAATGGCCGTAATTTTGTTGTATGCGTAGCATACCAGAGAAACATCACCTTTCTCAAACTCCTTGCTTTTCTGGTTCTGTTCCACACCGGTAAGCTTCTTACTCGCCAACAAACCCTTGATTCCATTGATAGTGTCGTAAGTGCACCTTTCCCAGGACTGAAATACCGGAGAAGTATGCTTGAGGGGAGTTCCTCCTTGTATCTCTCCTCCTTGTATCTCTGAAGTATGCTTGAGGATTATGTTACCGTCTATATCGCATGTAAATTCGGTCCTCTGCACTCTGTTTTTGGTCTCATCTGGGTCGATCGTCGTGAGCTGGTCAAATACTTTGTTGACATGGTAAATTTTCCACTGGTTTGCGGTAGTCGAAAATGCTTCGTAGTCTGTCTCCTTGGACGATAGTAGCTCGTTTTGCAACGTAAGAGTATTAATTTTCGACTTGATTCCGATCTTGGGAAACTTTTGGAAGTAGCATTCCTCCGTAAGAATACTGTCGGTCACATTCTCCGTGCGAATTGACTGGAATCCTAGCCAACCCCTCCCTTGGCTGTTGACCATAGCCTGGTAGTATGTCTTTTTCATCGACACGCTGAAGTCGAGGGCGTTTCTTTCCGGGTTGTTAGTGTGCATGAGAGTTTTGACCACATAATTAGGAGCTCCTTGCACGATGTAATCTCTCGGATCTGTGTTTTTATCTCCCGAATCTGTTTTTTTGTCTCCCGAATCTGTTTTTTGTCTCCCGAACCTGTGGACTTATACACAGTTGTGTCAGAAAGACATCCATACGAGACCGAGGTCACGAGCCCCATAGGATCCTGAGCTGACGAAAGGAGATCTGTCGGCTGGGTAGTATTATAGATAGGGAAGAGCGTTGGGGTAAGCTCGTTGTTGAGACTATACATCAGCCAACCACCCATACCGATACCATTCAAATCTGCTGGAACGAATCATGTCGTGTCGGGCCCGGGGTTTGTACTCAGTGGGTACTGGGTCAGTTCGCTCAGAGTGCCATTGGAGCGACCATCGACCGAGAAACAGGCCATGCTGTTGTCGTCCTGCTGATACACGTATGCAAGACTTGGGTAAAGTCCACCATTGATGTTGGTAACTGAAAACATGCCGCCCTTAGCTGTCTTTGGGTTCGGTGCTTGGAGTGTGAAATCCTTTGCCGAGACTTTGTTGAAAGCGCCTTGACCATCACCAAGGGAAATCTGGAAACTAATCTTTAGATTCGGCGATACATGCTCCGCCTTACCAAGCACGATATCTTGAGTGCCGTCTCCATTGATGTCGCAAGATAAGACATTCCATTTCGGCTTGTCATCAGCTTCTTTCTGAAAAGGTCCTCCGATAACAGACTCTTTGCCAGTACGATCAAAGCCCTCGCTCGAATCAAACACCTTTGAGGAACGAAATGAGGTAGTCTTGATGTGGTACTGATTGACATCATTGGATAGAAATTCTTTCCAGATACGTACAAGACTGACCGCCCCACTCCCCGAGTGCTTGAGGAGGAACCAATCGATTGTGTTGTCAAATTTGTACGTTGTGTCTGTTTGGGGCGCCTTTACCAGATTGATGTCGCCTTTGGTCGCGATACTCGAGAAATTACGAAAAGAAATATTCTCACCATTCTTGAAAATCTGGACCACATCGATGACTCCAGTTCCCGTCATGTTCATAGCCATGAACCTTGATTCAGGTACCCATGGATATTCTGTCGGCGTATTTGTTTGACCATGAGTCAATTCTAAGCCATTGCTTTGGGAGATGAAGAATTGGAGTTTGTCTTGGTCATTCTGGTAAGGGATGATTAGATCTGAGCGGCCGTCGCCGAAAAGGTCCGGTGTCAAAAAGTATGGTGCTTCTCCACCCTTTGGATCCCATTTCGGCAATTTCAAGGAAGCGTTGTGTTCTGACGCTGTCCAACTGATAAGGGCTTTCTCGTCACGATTGGCGATATACGTTTTCACGGTCAGCGTCTTCTTAGGCTCGTCCCATGCCATACACGCCAAGTCTGTGAGCGATCGACCTGTCATATTCATCGGAATAATAGTGAGAATATTTTTCTCGGGTGAAAGACGGATCGACGGCTGGGCGCTGAAGATTTTGCCTGGTTCTGATCCAGCAGTGTATGTGAACAAGGACGGAAGTAGATCCACTCTACTCACTCCATCTCCGGCGCTCTCCGTGACCTTTTCCAGGAATGAGTCTTTTGTTGTTGGTGAGATATTGTAGCCAAGGGAATATGTCCTACTGAATATGGTTTTATCATTTTGGATGACGCCAATGGATATGGAGCTGAGGCGGCACGCCCACGTAATGAGAGTGCCTTCGACGGATTGCAATACCAGATCTGGTCGCGGCTCATAATTGAATTTGACGATGCGGGTTGCTAGAACCTTGGCGGTACTGTTGGAGCAGTACGAGATTGTGTCAAGATAAGAGGTGTTGGCATCTTTTACGTCACCACGAAGTACTGGAGAAGCCACGTATTGGTATGTGATGGTATTGCCGTGACAGTCAGTCTGCCTTTTGACTCGCCACTCGCGCGTATTGCTTTGATCTACGGTAATGGGAACAGAGCTGTCGATGGTCGTGCCATATTCAGTCTTTCGGCCTGTGTTGTCGGTAGCTAAGAAACCGTTTCCTTCACCTAGCGACTTGATTTCCAGGCCTGTATTGTTCGTCTCGGTGGTGTACACTGTGCCTGGTTTGAGGTAATCCCCCTCAATATTCAGAAGGTCTGTACCGTCTAGAATGAGCTTTGGTGTCGTCGAGTCATAGCCTGGAGGAGGAGGGTTTAGCTTATCGTAGACCACCTTTGGCGCGCCACGGCGAATGGTTGATAATCCCCCGAGGCCCCAGCTCAGACCCAGAACGCCGTTTGGAGTTCCTTGGGAGTACTGGAGCGAAAGGTCCGGAGCGTTTCCATCTTTTATGCCCTCTGGAGTGTCTATATGAAACATGTAACGGGAGAGCCCATTATTGTCCGTGTCTAGTTTGCCATGGGGACGGCCAATGGCTGCCTTGTATGTGACGTCGGACATGGTTGGTATTCGTAGTCTTCTAAGGTTGGTGCTTCATATGTCATGCATGCAAATGTTTCCTCGGTCGGCGAAGATCACGAATTTGTATTCGGCTGCTACAGAAGTTGACCCTCTATGGTAGTCCAAATCTAGACCTAGGGCCGATTGCTCCGGAGAACCAGACTTGCACAGTCGTGGCAGTCTGAGCTGGCATTTCTCAGCTGTTTTCACAGCTGCTCCACGGCTGACGAGTTGATGAACAATATTAGCCATTTCCAACCAATGAGCCGAACAGCTTTATCCCCCAGATGCTTAGAGAATTCCAATAGTGGGAAGCTCGCAGTCTCTATCTAAGTTGCATTAGCAAGTGCAGAAGTTCGTCTAGAAAAGCCCAGAGACATTGCGTAGTGGATTGCCGTTTGCGTGTAGTGGATTGCCGGCTGAGCCTGTAGTGGCTCGCTTGCAGCTGTGTCTACCGTCGCCACATCACCTCGAATGTCGCTTATGAGAGGCTGCAAAAGGTATATCAGCTCGCCTAAAGAGCTATAAGTGTATTGAACGATGCGATGCAGAGCCTGCACGGGCTATTGTCTGGCCGGCTGCAGCGACAAGGTGCTAGGGTCGTGTTTGCGACGAGGCCAGAACAGCGGGGAAGCGGCGGGCAAAGGAAGGCCCGCGCCGCGTGCATGCACGGAACCAACCAGCTAGTGTCCCATAGTGTTAGCCACCTAAATCCATCACCTATGCTTGTGGAAACGACTATAAGTCGGACCTCACAGACACAATATGAACAAGTATGAAGAATCCAATGGCAATCTTCACTAGACGACAGCAGTTCTAGAGTGTCGACGCACGAGACAGCAAGATTAAGTTTAGATTGATGGCTCGGTAGGCATTATAGACTTCAGCGATATCAAGATCCATTGGCGCCACTGTACACGACCAGAGCTGAAGATCAACTGAGTTGTGCGGCGGTGGATTGTAGCGTCCAATCGCTTGCGGGACTGCTGTCTCTTGCTGTGTGGTCTCGACGTCGCATGGTCAAAGCTCCAAGCTACGAAGATTCCTATATATGTACCGAAAGTCTCATAGTTGTGAAGACAGAAAAGCGTTGATTATCGTTGCTACACAATCTCGTATCCAGACTTTCTGTCACTCAATCTTCTTGCGGTTCTTGTGTGTTGACCGAATCACAATATGGGCATTGTTGCGATCATTGGAGAAGTCATCTCGGCGGTCAAACTGGCCGAGAAGGTGAAGGACGTAGGTATCCTTGGAATATCATACTCACAGAGCGAGGCTGATGACGTTCATAGACACTTCGCATACTCTTCCCGGAGCCACCCCAGGAGCTCACTAAGAAGCATCGATGGTATCAATGCACGATCAAAAATTGCACGCAATTCAAGTTGCTAGTTGGTGATACTTACATCGACACCGGAAAGTGGTGGACGCCTCCACAGGGCACTAGTCCTTTTGAACAGACGACGTTCAGCGCTAGCAATGGCGACCATAATCCAGGGGGAGCAACTGGGGGTGTGGCGTGGAAGTTATACCTAGATGAGCAGCACTGGTTCTATTTTTCAGTAGTCAGTATACCGAGACATTTGTTTTGTCCAAGCTAAAGCAATCCAGGGCCTCACCAGTCCAGCAACAGGGTCCTCCAAAGCTGCCATTGTTGAATCAGAAGACCCTGAAGCCGGGTACAAGGCCGCGACGAAGCAGGGAAGTAGCATAGTATCCAAAGATCAATATAAGATCAAGGACAAGGATGGTAATGAACAGCTGATTTTCTTCCACTGTGTGGCTATCCCCGGCCATGAGATGAGGATTGAGATCACTCAGACGATTGTTCAAGAGGGAGACGAAGATGGGTTTTGATGAGATCCAACAAGTTGACAAGACTACACATTTGTAGAAGAATCACTAATCGTAATCATGTATATGCTATGGAACGTTCACGGCACCGATAGATGTGATTCACGGATTGAAAATAAACACATTCGTTTACAACTACTTACATGGCGACGAGGTACTATTGTCATAAAGAGAATGTACTCTTTCAATGAACATTCCCAGTTGCATACCGTGAGCAATCGATTCTCTAGATTCTCGCTTCTAGCTTTCCGCGGGAAAGTCTGGCTGTGATCTCGACGTTACAGTTGAACCTGCACCTCAGTGATTAGCCTCCCTCTTTCCTGTTTTGCATGGTCTTTTGGACAGACAGCGGCCGAACTTTTCAAATTAAGCCAGCTGAAATGTAGCACGGAAATGCCGATGGCAAGAGGCCTGCATGATGCGCCAGTTCGTACATCTCATCGTGTCGCTAAATTGTAGTAAGCTACCACGAGCACTTCATTGGTCACGATGGATTCAAAGGCGGAAAGCCTTCCTGCAAACATCGCACCACTACACACTATGTCCATCAAAGGGTAAGCTCTTGTTAGACCAGAAGATGCTTGCCTTAGACTGTCGAGCCTAGAGTGATGAAACTGCATTCTAT